GATTAAAATTGATCCCCATTGTCTCAAAATAGCTTTCCCAGAAGCATGAGGAAGTGAAGGGGATGTGGAGCTGAAGGGACCCCAGGCTGGCAGGACATGACTGAGGACCCTTCTGAGGCATCTCTGCTTCAGACCGGCCGCTGGCGGGACCTGAGGTGGGTCTGTGGTCCTGCCTGTTGTGGCTGGCGAAAGGCCGGAGACCGGCAAGCACCTGGCAGTGCTGAGAAGGGAATGACGTGACGTGGGGGACTGCGACGGGGGAAACACGGGGCAGCTCAGGCACTGCCGCCCTGCGCCGGCGCGGCTCTGCAGCGAGCTGCACTGCAGGCAGATCTCCAGGTTATTGCACAGCCTGTGTCCATGCTGCGTAGCTGAAACATTTCCATATCTCATCTGGCCTCTGTACACCATAACCAAGATTTTCTGGGGCTAGATCTGGGCCTTCATTCTGCGTTTGTGGAGCCCCTCCATGAGCAGACCCTCATTTTGATTTGCATTCTGAAACTTTGCTGCAAAACAAATGATAGATGCTAATACGACGTCACCTGCAGCGTGGACACCGTGAAGAAGGAGGGCTGCGCACAGCACAGCACAGCACACAGAGCCGGCTGTTCCAGCTGCTTCGTTGTCCGCAAATAAAACAGAAATGCATCTGAGATCACGACAGTCAAGACCGTGGTTGTATTTACATGCGTTTTCACAGGACAGTATTTTCAAAGGAAAGGAATTATACAGAAAAAGTAGGTGGACTCATGAGCAGCTTTAGATTTTCCAAACTTTGTTATCATACAATGACTTGAACAAAATAATTTCTCCTCAAATACTGGTACGATGCTCACTTAGAGGGAAGGAAGGGAGAAGACCTGCTGCATTGCAGTCACAATCCCTTTTGATCTGGGATTTTTGTTAAACTGTGAGTGTGGTGAGAGAGGTGGGCAGTTAGCTAAAGACTTGACAGATGGGGTGGGGGTACAGAGGTGTCACCCTCTCCTCAGCTCCGAGGAGACGGGGAGGCGAGAGCCGCCGGGCCGTGCTG